CCCGGGCGAACCCTGGCATTGCGCCACAGACCTGGGCAGGCAGTCAAGATTAATAGCTGGGCTCATAGAGGACAAAGGCTTGCAGGTCACGGAATAAGCACACAGCCACGCTCAACCCTGTAGGTTTTCATTGGAGCACTGGGTTCGGTGTCAGGCGCTGGAACTGAATGCACAACTCACACATCCCTTGAACGACAAGTGTGGATATTCCAGACACTCATCGAAAGCATGTGATCAAAATTTCAAGACACAAGCTCAGCCTGTGTTGTGTGCCCCGATCACAGGTCATGGTTTGTTACGTTGACCTGCGAGTCCCTTTCAAAGCATCGCGGTTCTAGACAGCCGGAAGGTTTTTGGCAAACTTCTTGGCCACTTTCACAGCCAAATCATAAGGCACGACCTGGCCAGCAGCGATGCCGCTCTTCTTGGCCTTGAAGGCCGCCTTGCATTCCTTCCAGAATGGGTCCTGCGTGCGATGTGGGTTGGGGTCTGTAGACTGTAGGACCCATACGATGGTTTGTGGTGACTAAAAAAAACCTTAAGATCTTTACAACCTCATCTCCTGGTACTTGCTTGGGTAGGTCACGAAGAGCTCCACATGGTCACTGAACGCAAGCTTGGTGGCCTTCCAAAGTTTGTAGGGGAGAGGGCGAATCGGCGGTGGTCTGCGTGCAAAGCACACTTCCTTCTCCTCTTCTTCCTCTGCTTCTGCACGCTCTGCGTCTTCATCCTCTCCCTGCTTGGGAGCCTTCTTGGCAGCCTTCAAGGCCTTCAGCTTCTTCTTCCCAGGCTTCTTCTTTGTCTCGCCACTAGACTTGTCCATCGAATCAGCAGGTGGATCCTGCTCAGCACCCCACCAGTTGCCACCATCTGCATCATCCGATCCATACCACTGCCACCAATGAGCATCCCATGGAGGCATGGTTCCCTTCCAGCTCCACCACCCCTGAGAAAGCGCTGACCAATCCACATCTTGCCATGCCTCTGAAGAAGCCACGCACTCAGCAGGAGCACGCCTCTTGGCCTTGTGCTCCGTGGAGCTGGCAGACTTGCGCTTCAGTCCGGTGCTCCCACCACGGCCCCCGTAGTTGCGGCGTGGTCGACCTCGACCACGAGCACCTTTCACATCAGGCACATCCTCTCCTTCTTCGACAAGAGGAGCGCTGCGTCTGATCTGCGTTTGCTCCGTTCGCTTTGCGAAGCCCTTTCAAGGGGGGACTTATAGCAACAGCAACTATCTGATCTAGATTTTTCCCACAAAAAACATGAAAGTTAAAATAGACATATAGGATTTGTCTTGCGCCTCAAAGCTGGCAACGTCAGGATCTGCAGAAGGTGCGGTGCCCTCTTGGTGGCCCTGATCGGTGGCAGGCGGGGCTTCATGCCAGTAAGGATCGGCAGCAGGCTGGGCTTCCGCTGGCTTATTCTCAGCAGCTGGGGGAACCACAACACGTGGATATGGATCGCCCACCTTATCCGGCGTGGCGGTTGCATCCAACTCTGGACAGAGGTTCCGGGCAAGCGGTGTGTGAATGGGCTCTGACGGTGGAGATGCACTCGTGGGCGCGTGGCTGTTTTCACTCACGGGTGACTCCAACACAACCTGGGTCTCCACGTTGTCAGGAGTCGGGTGCAGGCGAGACCTGAGCAAGTACTGTTGGGACACACCCATCGGTAGCCTGCACATAAAGTAAAGCTTCAAATGACCCACCAAGGTTCGTAAGCAACCGAATCTTCTCCATGAGAAGATGTTCCTCCATCTCCAGCTCCGCGTCATCGAGCTCACCCTCTGTGGCTGCCAATTCAATCTCAGAGGGGCCATTCTTCTTTGCCAGCTCAGCCTCACAAGACTCAGAAGGGCCATCCTCTTTTGCAGAGGCATGCGACGAAGGCGAAGTTGCCTCCGAGCTTGACCAAGCCTCTTCCGGGGCGGCTGGGTACTGGGCATCCTGTCGAAGCAAGATCACACGAAGGCCTTCTGAGATCTCCGTATCCGAGAGGCCATCCTGGTCGACTACATCTTCCTCTGCAGCACGATCCTCCTTCCCCTTGCCCCTTTTGGCTGGCCTGGGGGCTACCGAAGGGGGGGTTCCCCAGTACCTGCAAAGAGTTTCGAAGAACCCTTCAACCATCAGATCTTTCTGCTTGCGTGGAGCCCCACGCCTCCGAATGCCTAGGGAAAACATGCGACGCAGTCCCCACTGGTCTGCAAAGACAGCCACATCATCATCCGGCAGTCCCATTGCCTTGCGCCACTCAAGAACCTTACAGGGAAAGCGGCAGCATACTTTGCCTACTGTTGACAAGGAACCTCTGTGCAAACAAAAGTGTGTTTTTAACATAAGGCCTCTGCTCTGAGCAGCGGAATTGGAGGCGACTTTGCAACATTCGAAAACGGGCACCAGCGATTAGCCAGACTAAACAAGCTGTCACCATTCATGGATATTGCATGCATAGATGCAATACCCTTCTGCTTCGCTGATGGCCACCGTGTGAGGGACTTCGACTCCCTTCCGATGGCCCGCAACACAGAGGACTCTTCCCAGCATTTCGCCAGTTTTCCAACCTCCCACTGGATGGGTGCTGGAGACATGTGTTCCGGCGACGGTGAGGATGATTCGGGAGCTTCCTGCTTCTTATTCCCTCGACCCATCTTCGCAATCTAGAGCCCCTGTCCTGTGACAAAAAAGGCCTCGAGCCAACCAGGCTGTGGAAAGTTGTTGCATCTGTGTCTGCTCAAGACGCCACCCTCTTTTAAAAAAAATATAGTCCTGATCGAGTCCCGGGGGCACGGCTTGTCCAATCCGGGATCGGCCCGAAGATCCCCAAAGTACCTGCGCTAGAATGGGTGTGCTCTGTATAAGCTTGAATAAAGGGCATTGAGGTTGCGAAGGCTTCATGTTGGTGGCAGATAGCACTGAAGGTGCAAACATGTTTTGCTTGCACGCAGTTCCCGATGACGTTTCAAAATGAGCCCGAATGCATCTCACTTCCGCGAGGTGGCTTCGGCTTCATCCTTCTGAGGGGCTGGATGGGCTGGATGGCCTGAGATCGCTGGTGAGACATAATGGGGGGCTTGGCATTCGCACCTCTAACAACATCATGCTAAGTGGCACTTCTCCAAGTCTTCATCCGTACATGTAGCGATCTTGTAGCACAGACCATGCAGCTTATGGTTCTCCAAGATATCGAGGATTCTCTCGTTCCAGGCTTTGGTGCAGGTCTCCTGGTTGGCTAAGGGGAGGAAGGCCTAAGCCTACAATATTCTGTTAGTGTACACCTATGCTTGAGAGTCCTCGTCATATCCCAGACCATGAAGGCATCGCTCCCAAAACACCAGAGGTTGATCGTCCAGCCCTGGTTCCAGGGAAGGAATACATTGAGCATCCTACCTATACCCTGCCTAAAACCATGACCCAGCCTGCTTCAGCGATCTTATCTTTTGTAGAAGAGGGAAGCTCGCGGAGGGCACGCTCCATCCCAACTCTGAATCAGATTCTGAGCCACAGGCTTTCCATAGTAGCCATGCTGCTTTCACCAGCAGTCAGTACAAGACAAGAAGCTCTAACACACGCACACACACACACACACAAAAGTCACAAAAGCGAGCACGCGCACTCGCCCACCCAAGTCTTCCAGGCACCATGGCAAAAGGCCATGTTATAAGGCTGGGACTGCGTTCAAAAAGTGGGCATGAGTGTCGCCTACCTCATTGTGGATGCTTGGGTTATAAGTTCCCCTGATCAATGTGGGGTCACATTCTAAACCGACGATTCCTTCATGAATCTGCATCCTGTACCATGACAACTGCTTGATGGGCAAGCTTCTGGTGCCATTTCGATGCATTCAGCCCACCAAAGCTAAAAATAGCCCACTCCAGCCCGAATTGGCCCACCCAATGAAGCGGGCTATTTTCTGGCCCAGTGCCAGAATAAGGCGATTCCTGTGGAAAGGCTGTTTTTTAGCATATGTTTGCGGCTACAGGTAAACCCTAAATCCTAAACCCTAAACCCTAAACCCTAAACCGGGCTTGTGTTGTTGTTGATGGTTGGGGTTTGTGGCTTGGGGAGCTTTAGGGTGGCAAGCTTCGAGTGGGCTGGTGGGTCGATGTCGTTGGCGCTCCGATGCGCTTAGGGAGTGCCGGCCCTTTTGGAGTATAGGACCTAGAGAGTCCGGTTTAGGGTTCGGGGTTTAGGGTTTAGGGTTTAGGGTTAGGGTTTAGGGTTTAGGGTTTAGGGTTTAGGGTTTAGGGTTTAGGGTCTAGGGTTTAGGGTTTAGGGTTTTAGGCTTGATGGTTTAAAGGGCTTGGGGCCACCTGGTTCCCAGCTTGCAGGGCTTTAGGGGCGAAACCCAAAACCCCAAACTGCCCAAACCCTAGACCCTAATATACTTAAGCCCTCGCCCCTACAATATCCTCAAGAACACTAAACCCTAAACCCTAAAACCACTAGAACCAAGCGAGGTCGGTTCAAGCATCACCCAGCTTACCGAAAGCACGCTGGAGTTCGAAGACCATGCACATCTACCACTCAGCTACATGATGTGCGAGGTGGTGGTTGGTCGAACTCTTCCATTGGGAAATAGTGGAAACCGCGTGGACTTCGTCGAGGCGAGCTACACCAGAACGTTGACCAGGGCTGGTCTCAGCAAAATGCGTATGTGCGTTTTCCACCTCACCAGCAGTGTTTGTTCGCAGCAAAATCGTTCTGGCGCACGAGGTTTTAGCAACGATGGTCACCGATTGCCTGCACTACCAAGTCGATCCCTAAACCCTAAACCCTAAACCCGAAAGCCTAAACCTTTAAGCCCTAAACCTTAAGCTAGGGCGGTGTAGGGCTTAGAATGCCAGAAGCCCTGCAACCCCTAAACATGCCGAAATCCTAAAGCCTAAACCCCAAACCGTAAACCCCAAACCCGAAACCCTAAACCCGAAACCCTAAACCCGAAACCCGAAACCCTAAACCCCAAACCCTAAACCCTAAACCCAGTCTTTCTACGAGGATCCGGCCGCGGCTTCCTTCTTCCGGCCTCGCCTGCCCCGCGCCTTATGTGGGCGCGCTTTCTGCCAGGATTGATGCTTTAGTTTAGGGTTTAGGGTTTTGGGTTTAGGGTTTAGGGTTTAGGGGCCTAGGGTTTAGGGTTCCCCGAAAACTTGTCAAACAATCTCAACCCCAAGTTCCTCCAGACTTCCATAAAATCAGCGCAGCTCTAGAGGCCCTGAACCCTCTGAGGCTAGGGTCTCGGGTTGGGGTCTAGGGTTTAGGGTTTCGGGTAAAGAGTTCAGGGTTCCCTTGCGTTTGCTGGTTGTTAAGTGTTCAGGAAGCCCTTGAGTGCTGAACCCAAGCCCCAAAGCCCTGAAGCCTCTCTACGCCTTCTAGACCCCAGAGACCCCAAACCCTCAACTAGCAAATCCTCAACCCTAAGCCCTACACCCTCAGCCCTCAACTCTATAAACCTTAAGCACCCCACCCTAAACCCTAAACCCTGAACCCTGAACCCTGAACCCTGAACCCTGAACCCTGAACCCTGAACCCTAAACCCTAAACCCTAAACCCTAAACCAAGCCCAAGCGGTGGGGGCACCGAGGTGGGCGACCGCAAATCTTCCGGAGTGCGGCTCTTGGCCATCTGAGATTATCCTGAACTTTTGGGGCTTTGAGGGGCTTCAAGGGCTGTAGGGTTTAGGGTTTATACAGGGATCCCCTGAACTTTTGGGGTTTTTAGGGGCTTTAGGGCTTAGGGTTTAGGGGCTTAAAGGAGCTTAAAGAGCTTTAGGTTTTTAGGGTTCAGGATTGTGGTGTCTGAGGGTTTAGGGCTGCAAGGGCTGTATGAAATATGAGGGTGACCATGTAACTACCCTTAGATACATCCCAGACCTCAAGAAGCCGAACCCCAAAGGCCCACCTCACCTTATTCGTGCTCTGAAGAAACACACCCGGGTCTGAGGAATGAGGGCTCCAGCGCATTTTTGTGCGCCGCCCTGCATCTTGTTGAGGGTTTTGTAAAGATTAGGGTTTAGGGTTTAGGTTCCTTCCCCCGATGAAACCTCAAAAAGAACCCCGAGCACCCAAAGTGCCCCCGGACCCCTCAACCCCTTGCTCTGTGTCACGGGCTTTTTCGGGAGCAAGTAGCTTCCTCAAACTCAAAAAGCCCATATGTTGGACTACGTACGTCCTAGGTCCGAAAAGCCCCAAACCCAAAAACCCCTAAACCTTGGGATGTTCCCCCTTTCTTCTGAGAGTCCTTAGCAATTAGGGAGTATAATAGCCCCCGCCGTAAACCCTAAACCCTAAACCCTAAACCCTAAACCCTAAACCCTACAGCCCCTACACCCTACAGCCCCTAAACCCTAAACCCTAAACCCTAAACCCTAAACCCTAAACCCTAAACCCTAAACCCTAAACCCTAAACCCTAAACCCTAAACCCTAAACCCGCAAGCAAGCCCTGCGAAGCATGCGCGCCCTCTCGTGCCATGGGGCTCCAAGCCACCGCATGGAGCGGATCATCCCTACAGGGCTCAACTTCTAGGCATGAGAGGGTTTAGGGTTTAGGGTTTAGGGTTTAGGGTTTAGGGTTTAGGGTTTAGGGTTTAGGGTTTAGGGTTTAGGGTTGAGAGGTGTAGGGTTTAGGGACTTACAGGTAGTAGAGGGTGTAGGCTCTTTAGGGACATATGAAAAATTGACTTTATGGGGCCTAAAGGGTCATAAGCAGAAGACCCGAGATCCGATGCAAAAGCCCTAGCCCAGGCGCTGAGTCTGTAAAACCCAACCTGGGTATTCTAAGCCTGCTGAAAACGAAAACAGGAAGTGCTCGGGACCAGCAGCCTTGACAACCAAGCCCTCAAGAACAACCTGAAACAAACCCAGAACTCCCAACCCTCAGAATCCAGGCGCTTGCTCTCTAGGAAGACTCATGCTGGGTACTTGCATGGGATAGCGGGCCCGGCATCGCCCGCAGCTACTCGACTTGCATGGAGCTATGACCAAACAAGTTCAGGGCGTGGGGTAGTTCGGTGTTCAGCATATCTAGAGTTACAAGCATTTATATCGACATATACGTACATACATATATATATATACACATAAGGTATAAAAGTGTATAAGTGAGTATATGTGCCCGCGCAGAAAACCTATCAAGGCACAGTACTGTGTGGGCTATAGCTTGACCTCTGCAAGGTAGAGAGTCTTGGTTGCAAGTGCTTGGGGGTTGATCGAAGTTCGTTCAATCATCTCCCCCCCCCCCCCGTTTTCCCACTTGGTGATTCCGAGTAGCTTGCTGAAGCACTCATGGAGTCTGATTCCGAATGTTGTCTTTGAAGTTCAGGGCGACTGCAGTTTCGCGTTGAACTTCCGCTTTTAGGGCCTTGATGGTTTTCACGGGAGTTCGTCTGCGCACTTTGGAGGGCGACCTGAAGACTCTTGCTTGCGTCGAAGGCTACGATCATGGCGGCGCCGATGGAACAGGCGCCATTTTTTTGTTAGGGGTCATTCAGAAAGGAAAACTTCTACGAATAACAAAAACCACATTAAGAATATCAATCACGGTACGTAGGTGTCCTTTGAGGCTGCAATGCGTCAATGGCAGAGTAAAGCACACCCTGCAGCCCGAGGACCCTGACAAAGCCAAGAGACGCTAAAGTCCCGCAAAATCTCGCACATGAAAAGCCCAAACTTGAAGCCTCAAATGCCCGACACAAACCCTCCTAACCATCTATACATATTTACATAAACTATATGACAAGCCCTTTACTTCCAGGGACCTAAGAATTTGGTGACTGGATCCCTTAAACACACAATTAGATCCCGGATAGTTTTGGGCAATGCAGAGTAATACAGTAAACCTAAACCCTAAACCCCCAGACCCCAAACCCTAAACCCTAAACCCTAAACCTAAACCCTAAACCCCAAAACGCTTCAGCCGCCGCCCCCGCCGCCGCCCTCGGAGCCCCCGGCGCCCGCGGCGGAGCCCACTGCGGCCGTGGCCGAAGCCCCGGAGCCCGCGGCTCCAGTGGCTCCCGCGGAGCCCGAGGAACCCAAGGAGAGGGTCTAAACAAAAGGGGAGTTGAGGGTTTAGGGTTTAGGGTCTAGGGTTTAGGGTTTAGGGTTTGGGGTTTGGGGTTTGGGGTTTGGGGTTTGGGGTTTGGGGTTTAGGGTTTGGGGTTTAGGGTTTAGGGTTTAGGGTTTAGGGTTTAGGGTTTGGGCATTGGTATTTGTGGATGTTTTCGGGTCGCTTTTGTTTTTGCATCTTTTTACAGAGGCTATAAGAGCAATGTGTATGTGCTGGGTTTCAAGGTTCGTTTTGAACAGTTGTTTAGGGGCTTCTACCGTAATAGGGCTTCATTGGGGGTTGGCAGAGGATTTATGTCAGACCGTAGTCGGAGTTACTTTGCAAGATTTGGTTGATAGTACTGAAACAGGACCAGCACTCACTGCTCTGTGGCACCAAGAGAGTGGAAGTAATTAGGTGGCTTGGGCTTCTGTTTTTTAGATTTGGCTTCCAGCCTTGGGGGGCTGAGGAATTCAGCGGGAGAGTGGGGTTATTGCAGGCTGAGAAGGGTTCTAATGTTGAACTACCGCTTACGTTGATATGAAATTCCTAGTAGGCTTGGCAGGTGAGGGGGTAAGTGTTAACCCAGACCACAAACCCTAACCTTAAACCCATATAAATCTTAAACCCTAGCAGCCTCCGAACACTAAAGCAAGGAACGCCTCGGACTTGAGACAGAAACACGAAAGAGTCTGGCAGGAGCTCGAAAAGGATGCGGCCGACATCACAGGTGCTTGAAGCCATGTTGTGTGTTTTTTTATTTGTCAATTGCCCTTTCAAATGTCCGTTTTCGATGCTTGGGCCCAGGTTGCAGGGAGTGTTTTACTGCTTCAAGCGGTTTTTCCCCACCTTGGGTGTGGGGTTGTTAGATTTGAAACTCAACTCTTCTCCTCGCCCGGTCAACTCCTATAGACTCCAACCCCAAGAGACTTCCTGGAGTGCCCAACCCCAAGAGTCGCTCTTCGAAATGGGTACTGTGGTGGTCTCTCTAATGTATGGCAATGGGCGCATCGTTTGCAAGCAGTATAGACTGGGCTTTGCAAGGGGGTCAGCTTTGGCATGGTGACTAAGTGCAGATTTACGCCAACAATTTTTTTACTTCGAACATCCCCACCTTACGGACTTGGATTGGGGGTTGGGCATTTCAGGGAGTCTCTGGGTTGGGCACTCCAGGAGTCTCCGGTTGGGCACTGGATCACATGTACAGGAAGCTTTCTCAGAACGCTGTAAGGGCCATCCTATCAAAGTCTGGCTTCCTAGGGAAGTTCAGAGCTCGTTAATGCAGGGTTCCTGCAAATCTTGGGGGTAGGGAGCCGCGGGTTCAGGGTGTAGGCTTAGGGTTTTCTGTGGTAGTGGGTTAAGGGTTACATGCTTAGGGTTGGGGGCGCGCCAATCAGCTAGCCTTCCGCCGAAATCCCCCGCCAGACAAGCCTAAACCCTAAACCCTAAACTCTGTGTAGGTGCAGCCTTGACAGCGCCAGCACGGAGCCACAGCTTGCGGTGCCTGCCGGTTGTCGTTTCTAAAACCCACGCCTTAAACCCTAAACCCTAAATTGCGTACCAGTTTGGGCCTCATACCCTTGTAGCAGGGCCTAGAACCTTCAGTTGTCCTAGGGGTTTTTCGGGCTGCAAGCTGAGGGTTGGTCTAAGATATAGCTTGGAATTCAGGGTGTATAAGTTTCGCTTCGGGGCCTTATAAGCGGCCGGAGGGCAATGCCAATCATCAGTTTGCTCCATATCAGGGAAGGGCCCACCGGCCACTAGCCCCCAAATCCAACCCTTAACCCCTGAACCCAGCCTAAGCCCTAAACCTCAAACCCTAAACCCCAAACCCCAAACCCTAAACCCTAAATCCTCAACCCTAAACCCTAAACCCTTTGAGCCCTAATGTCCAACAGCGTAAACCTTGAATCCTCATCAGGTGGTCTTCAACGCCGAGGACACCACGCTGAACGTGCTGCCTTCCTCAAGTCGCTTGCCAGGAGTTAGGTCTAGGGTGTGAAGTTCAGGGTTTAACGTTTAGGGTTTCAAGTTCAGGGTTTTAAGTTTCGGGTGTGTAGGGTTTATAGGGCCAGGAGTTGCGGAGACGGTTCAAAGTTCAGGGTTTTAAGTTTCGGGTTCGTAGGGTTCATAGGGTTCAAAGGTGAGGGTTTGTAGGGTTTATAGGGCTGGCGGTGTATATAGGGTTTAGGGATTGGAGGTTAGGGCTTATAGGGTTTGCTCAGGGTTTAAAGTTTCGGGTTTGCAGGGTTCAAGGTTTATGTAGTCTTTCAGTCTTCTATGGAGTCAGCCCCTGAGCCCTTTTATGGCAAATCGGCAAAACCGGGCAACCTGGGCGACCCGAACGATAAGGCTGATTCGGGGCAAATGTGAGGACAATCTGGCGTACACCCAAAAGACAAGGATGGGACGGTCAAGTAGGACATGCACCGCCGCTTGCTGGCATGGATACTGGCCTGAATGCCGGTGATGTTGGCGAAGATCTGTGGGGGTATGAAGGCCCCAGCTTGCCTCTCTTCGTGCGTCACCAGCCTGGCGTGCCCTCCGTTCTAGACGCTCCTTTG